CGGTAGACGTTCACATGGATCTAGTTTCTTTTCAAATTAAAATGGGGGGGGGGGTTAGTGCGAATTAAATGTAGAACGATGAACACGTCCTTATTTATTTTACTTAAGTAGAACACACAATTTATACTGTCGTGTTTAGTTTGTACTCATTTTTATCTGTTTAGGAAAAAAAATTAATAAATTTAATTAAAGTAAACATAATAAATTAACTTAATAAATCGACATTTCATAGCTTTGTTCGGTATCGAAACCAGTATCATGATTTTACAGTAACACTGTGCTTCTTATTCGTCAAAAATTATTCAAGTCGTTTAGCTGGTATCCAGCCGAATTACATAATCATTCAACATACAATCGTAAACTTGGTGAAGCACCTGTGTTTAAAAGAAATTGTCTGAGGCGATCCGAGTGTGTACGGTAGCGGGTAAAGAGGACAATAGGTGTCACTGCAGCATTACACAGAAGACCATTCGCCGGATTTCACTGGAAGTTAGTTACGCAACATTACGGCGACAGGTAGACTCTTCTTCAAGACAGACTGAATTTGAGAAATTCAACACCAACACATCCGTAATATGCAGTCTACAAACCTTCAACTTCTTCTTACATTAAATAAATATATTTTTTTAATATACCGACGTAAGAAAAAATTAACTATTAATGAAAAAAGAAGATTGATGTAAAAACCAACCGGGGAAAGGCACAAATTGTTTAAAGATGTAAGCAAAAATAAATATGTACATTACATCCAAAGTTTTGTAAAAATTACTGATTCCTTATATTTTTTGTCAAGTCGTGATAGTGTGTGTGTGGTGGGACAGTTGAGTGAGGAACTTGTTTGATTATCAAATCAAGTAAAAAATATTTCATAGTTTATTTCCTCAACTTTTTATCAATAATTAAGAATAAAAATCAAACAAAATTTATATGCTGAATATTATGACAGTAAAAAAAAAACAGCTGGAGTTTAAATATATTTTAAACTTTGCCTTGGTCGATATTGATTTTTTGGAGAGAGAGAGAGAGAGAAAAAGAAAGAGAGGAGTGAGCGAAAGAGAGAGATGAATGGTTACTCAACACGGAAGATAATGGGCACCTACAGTTAGCGAATAATCTCACTCTTATGAAAAGGAAAGATGTTAATGAAACATAAATCAAATTAATAATGATTACGGGTATAAATTGATCAAATGGACAAAGAAATTTGCATCATTCACAAAACTTGCACATTTTTATAAAATTTATATTTAAGTACCGGTGTACTATATACTTTTTCGTGTAACGTGTGTGTAAGGGGGGGGGGGGGGGTTATACATGTATGCTAGAGGGTTCGGAATAAATATTTTTGAGCACTGGTTCGACTGACTAATGACTTCCAATTTCACTACTTCGTAAAATAGTTTACCAGACAAGTCCATCCTCTACCTTTTTATTACGTTAACATCATAACACCCCCTACGCCTACCTCCTTTAATGAGATGAAATTTAATTTCAGCACATAAAATTAAATTAATTCCAATTCACCGATAGCTACAGGAGGAAATTGGAAGTTATGAAACATGTTATATTTTTGTTAAAATTGAATCATGATTAAAAAAATACTTTAAAATTAAGTTCAAAAACTAATAAATAGTGATCCAATCCCCTCGGCAAATTGAATGTGAATTTAAGAGAGAGAGAGAGAAGAAAAATATTGGAGAAAAATGGTGCTACTGCTAATATTATTCTTACCGCTGACCTAGTAAATATAAATATTTTACTTAAGATTACTATAATTGCTATAGTGCATGAATGTTTATTACTAGTCTGAAAATTATTTATTAGTCTCGGACTTACAGATATCGAGTACTTATGAACCCTGCGTCATCGATCAACCAACCATTCATTTAGATATAATGTTTTAAGTGACAAAATTAACAAGGCATAGTACAAGTTTAGATATTGAGCACTGCACTGTTCAATAGGGGAACTCCAGTATGAGCAAATGAAACCGGAAATCTTAAACAGGGGTAACAGGGGTAGCGGTATATAGGGAACTTATATATAGTGAGCTAGCTTTTCTGGTGATGCGGTAGAGTCTCCCTCTATTTCAGGCAAGTTAAGCAACGGCAAGCCTGTTTAACCCTTGGATGGGTGACAGCTTCACGTAACATTAATTATATGACTTGTACAGATATGATTAATTAATTTTAATTCTTTAATTGAACCGGGATAGATATATTCAACACATAAATTTAAACTTGATTTACGCATAGTTAATTTCAATTCATATTCTGAATTATTTTAAAGATAATACTAATATTTAGATTAAAAAAAAATTGCCAGGGATTTTTTTTTCAAGCATTAAAATAAGACTGTTTTTAAATACAAAGTATAACACATAGTCATTTTCACACCACTGCAACCTCCCCGAGAGCGAAAACAATAGGGTAGGACAGTAATTAACAAAAAAGTACATTTCCAAACATGAAAATTCTGCTTTTATTTCTGAAGGGGGGGGGGCTAAACCTACGAAGCAATATTCAATGTCTCTTCTAAGTACATGTATATATTTGGGAAAAAAGTGGGGGGACCCCCCCCCCCCGGTTCCGACGCCTATGTCATATTTTCATAATCGACAAAAAAAAAAAACTTGCAACTAATGCATGGTCAAACACTGATTCACAACCAACGAATACTCAGTGAGATATTTTAGTAGTAATGTTTTAATATTTTCCTGCGTAAGGTGTTTATTAAATACATGTATACAGCATAGGTGTCGGGACCTGGGGCTAAGAGTGGGAAGGTCATGGCCAAGAGGAAATAACAGTATTCCTTTTGTGGTCTTAGATTTTTTGCGTTTATTCCTTGTTTATGTGGACTTTTTGTATGTAGATTATGATTATTTACTTCAATGTATTTTTCACATTACTTTTTGGGGAAAACTGCGTAAAATTTGATAATTCCATCGCGACCAAGTAGCAAAGCAGCGTGGCATGTGCATCTACACTCGTCGGACTTCTATAGCATAATACATTTATTTAATATTTGTTAAGATGGGAAGTATAGGGAGTAACGTTGATGAACGGGATATATGGTGGACAATGCCTTTCTACAAGAAGTGTTCAGATCCATGACCGATATATATACCTCAGTTGATTGACAGGTGGAGCACGTGGATGTAAATTAAGAAATTGGAAATTTAATTGTTTCGGGTTTTCAAGGTTAATTTTCACGATTTTGTTATCTGTTCAGAAATCCAGTTTTTACCGGTGAAGTAGTGTTCTACAGAAATCATTTAATAAATCTTGTTAAATTACACGTAAAATCGAACAAAATATGTAAATCGAATTTTCTTGATAGTGATAAATTAATAGTGAAGAATTACAAGTACGTTTAATTACATTAAAAAAATTTACCGGCAGACCGTGTATGTTCTTATCTGTAAATAAGCATTATTTTTTCACAATTCAAAAAGAATTGTTTCTAAATATCTTGAACTAAGTATCGAAAATACAATCTGTTTATAATCTAAATATTTTTTAAGTTGCTGCAGCATGTATCGTTTACTCATTATTTGGTTTTTTTATGAATGAAAAGCAGTACATGTTGATGTCAATTCGACAACCATTGTGTTTTTATTACACACAGGCCAAAGACACTCGTTTTAAAAAGGTCATTATAAATCTCTACATATTGAAAGAGTTATTGCCACGATAAAATTATTTGAGAAAATTATTTTGAGAACTCTGAAGATTTAATAGCGTTTTCATATTTCAGGCAAACGGACTACTATTTAATCTTGAAAAAAAATAGGAAACTAAAGGTTTGTTTCATTAAATAGACTTAAAAGCAGAATTGCAACATCGTTACCTATTCCTTCATCTAAAATTTACATGCATGTTTTAACTTCTAAACATTAAAAGCGATATATTTCTAACTTTCTTTAATAGACACGGTGTAACACGGGCACCGACACGGTGCAACACGGAGGGTATAATGGACGAGCTTCCTGGACACGGAGGGACACGGTGGACTTCTTGTATATTGAGAATATACACACACCGTGGCACACCGTGTACACGGTGTAACACAGAGCATTTCACGCGGTGTTTCTTCCACCGGGCGTTGCGGAAAACTCGTGAGCTGTACTGTACATGTTATACAAAAGAAAGTGAAGATATCAGGAAATTTTTCTTGACCATCTGAAATTACATCTGCTATTCATCTGGGGGGACTAATTATTCAACTCAAATATTTCCTTCTCTTCATTATGCTGTATATTAGTATGTAAGCTATTCCTTGCTATTCGTAGTCTTTAAAAGTGGTCTGTTGATAAAATTCCTATTTATTTTCTTTTCAGGCCAAACAAACATTAGCGTCCCCATTCAAATGGAAAATCTGTTTATTCAGGCTTATAGTGTTAAATTACTTCTGCCATATTATACAATTAAATTGTAAAAGAAACAAGATTATATACCTAGACTCATTCATTAAATCTATCCCTCCTACTTTGCAAATCATATGAAGACTATAAGTCAAAGACTTCATTAAAAGTTTTTAAAGTTGTGGCATGCAGATTTAAAAAGTTTAAATGTGAATTAACTATTCCTAAATATGTCATTGCTGGATCAGTTAAATACAATCTGCCATTTAATTCTCTCTTTGAATAATCCTAATACATACACAGAATATTTTAGTGGCTGACTTCATTTAGGTTTCACTAAATGACCTTAATGAACAGATTCAAAACTTTGCTAGATTGATCCAAAGAAATGATTAATGAAACAGTTGATGATTAAGAATTGAATAATATACATTTATTGACTGAGTTGGAGGGCAACATGCGTTTTGTTGGACCCAAGAACCAAACTGTCTGACGTGTCTATAAACAATACAAATATCTGAATAGGGTAATAATAAACCACAGACCCCTGGGAGTGCTAGAGGTGGAATCAGATGCCTAGGAGTATTAAGCAACCCCTGTTGAACAACAAACATAAAGATATGTAGTCTCTTACCGGCATTTTAAAATATTAAGAAGGCATAAATTCACTCAGCAAAAGGAACTTTCAGTACTCAGGCAATCTTCTATCAGATTTTCACCATTAAGGGACTTCTCCTGTGTAGTGTTTTGACTGTAAACAATGACATCATTATATAATACCATACATTTCATGTACTATGATGATTTAAATATACTTTATACTTTGTGTTCCTATTGTGTAAATTTAAACATTGCCAAAAAACAAATTTCTCAGAAGTTGGAAAAAAAATGTCAATCTCAGCTATTATACTGTATGATATACACATGGTGATATAGTACTTGGTTATAACATGAAATCAGTGAGACTTAGAATTTCGTTTTCATTTTAATCAAGATTCTTTATATTTGTTGAAGGAACATGCTGCAAAATCTCCTATACATGTAGGATATGTTTTTCTTTTCATTCTCCTCAATGCACATAAAATATATAGAGAATAATACATACCCTTTTCCATATCACATCCTGTATCAGCCCGAGACACCAATATCAGCCAGAGGGCCGAAGGCCCGAGGGCTGATATTGGTCGAAGGCTGATACAGGATGTGATGTGGAAAAGGGTATGTATTAATATGTTTATTACATACTTAGTAATAAAATACAGCATGCATTAAGTTGAGAAGAAAATAAGTAAATAACCATGCATGGACTTCTTTCATACATATACATGGTCTATTGTATCATATGATTTGGGTTTGTTTCTACTTCTATTTCAATGCACTCGATCCGTAATTTGAAAATAATCTATTACATGTATTTGTAAATTAAGATTAATCTTATTTTCAAAAAGTTAAAATTAAGAGAATATGAACCCACCAAAAATTTTGTATGATCACAAATACTGTTTTTGTGGTTTAATTTACTAAGGGTGTGATGGTGACGTCACAATAGCCGTATCAGCCCCTGCAGGGCTAATATGGATTTGCAGGGCTGATATAGGTTATCAGCCCCGCAAATCCATATCACCCCTGCTGGGTTTATACGGCTATTGTGACGTCAGCCATATCGCATATGCAAAAAACCTGTATTTATTACTAAGTATGTAATAAATCTTCATAATGAGCATGTTGAGTACGTGTCTTTAGTGCATTTAATAGCTAAAGAAATTCAAAACATTAGAGTTTGCATGCATACAAGATTAATTTCAACAAACCTTTTAAGAATAAATTGAACCTGATTGATCTCTGCATCAATTTCATCAGGCATCAGCAGAACTTCACATTAGTAACATCAATTAATGGAGACTGTCTTACATTCTAGCCACTTCTGTGTTGCATACCTGAAAAGAAATCCTGAATAATTACTGTGAACAGTTTTATAATATCCTTTGAAGTTAAAACTTGCAAGAAGCTGGTGTTATAAAAACTGCAGTATAACATGTAACACCTAAATGTTGAATGAACATGATGAAATCTTAAAAATTTGCTGCATAACAAAATATCTTCATTTTAATACACATTATATAAATTTTTGGATTACCGAACTGTTAGCAAATTGACATATTTTTTTAAACCTTAAAACTTGATTCCTATTGGAGTAAATAAAGCAACAATATGCCCATTCATGCCCTTATCTAAATATACCTGGTAACTTAATACATATGTTATATACATTGAGAAATTTAAACCCTTTATGAAGTTTAAAATGGTGACATTTGTAATAAATGAATTTTTAAAACACAGCACTTCAAAAATGCTCCATGATACCGTATAAGTGGAAATTTTAGCGAGACGCAAATTTAGCGATTTTACCCAAAATCTGGTATTTTATTTTTAGCGAGAAGTAAATTTAGCGATTTTAAAATGCTAACTAAAGAAGCTGTTGCAAATAATACGCAATTCATTTTTAGCGATATTCAATTTTAGCGATGTCAGCACCCTCGCTAATAATGCCAAAATTAAATCCTCGCTAAAAATTCTACTTATACGGTATTTTTGTTCAAAACATTGGGAATCATGGCCTATTTCCTGTATTCACCGTACTTAACAGCTGATTATTTTGTGGTTTTTTTTTTAACCATGTACACATATATTTATGATAATTATTTAAAACAAAAACCCCAGTTCTTGCATGCAGCATAACTCAAACACAGAACAAACTTGCAAAATAATCCATGTGTACTGAAAGAGGAGAAAAATGCAATGTACCAGACTGGGATTTTAACTCGGGCCCCCTGAAACTCCAGTCAGGTGCTCTAATACTGTCCGAGCTATCTGGCCACCGGCAATCAACCACCACATTCCTCTCTCCTTAAAATCTTCCCCCACAAAGAAACTTAACCATGGCTCTTCCCTAGAAGGTCTTTCAAATGTCACTTCCAGGTCAATATAACAGAATAAGTGAAAAAATAGAGCAGACCAGGCCCAGGATCAAATCCCTTTTTATCATTCATTTAACCCCCTTTTTTTCCTCATACATCTGTTTTCTCTTCCTCTCTCTCTCTCTCTCTTTGAGTCTCTCTTTGTTCCCTCCTCAATCCAAAACCACATCAAGCTGATCTACTACTAAGCAATAGATGCCATATTAAGTCATATGCATTAAATTGTACTGTCGATTGAAAATTCCTGGGTAGGCAAAATTTTTGGCTTCATGGAACGTTGTAATTTCATGGGTACAATGCATCTCAAAATACGAAGGAAAATCCATGGATAAATATGTTGATGAAATAGTTGTTCATGGAGATGTAAATTCATGGAAGAGGGTGACCCTGAAAATCCACAAAGTTGAAACATTGGTCCCCACTGAAGATTGATGATTCCACAGTAAGCCTTACAGTAAATTGATAGCAGGTAATCCAAAGAGCAAAAGAAGGAGGGAAACCATGAAAATAAATATGTCCCAAAAAAGTATAAATGGCATTCTGATATCCATTAATATACAACAATCATCTTACCTATAGGCTCTAAAATTCACTACCTTTTTATGATTCTAGTCTCATAAATTAGTGCTGAATGATTACAAAGAAACAAGAGTTGATCTTCAAAAGGAATGAACACTTCTACACATGGCTGCTCATTTCATTGCAGCATCAATGACAAGGCAGGAAGAAACAAGACTCTCTGAGTCATTCATAATAAAATCCATATTCTGCATATTGACCTGTTCTACAGGAGAATTCCAATAGTACAGCAGGCTGTAGGATTTAGTGAGTCAACATCAATATAGACATGTTCCAACCTCTCGTCAAATTTATTCTTCAGGAGTTATATTAACTGTTACTGCTTCAATCTTTTTCATAAACTTTTTATGAGACAATATTAATTTATACGTTAATTTAGCAGTGCTTTTAATTTAAGAGATTCTATGAGGGGGGATTGAGGTCAATTAAGAGGTCAATCTTATCAAGTTAATATAGTTTGAACTTTCACCACACAACATGCACAATCAGGACTGTAGTAGAATTGGCTTGCAAGCAGTGAGTGCAGTACGTGATATGATATGTGTGTTTTATAGCTTAACATGTACTAACTTAGAAATCCGTTCATTTTGGTCACAATAAAAACCTACTGTCTTAAATGACAGAACACCTTATATGTACACAAATTTCCAATACATATACACTTGATTATAAGGACTTGATGAAATTTGGTATCTTGAACAACATTTCAAATACTCCCAGTATAATATGGATGGGTTGGAAATCCCAGAATATGATGAACTTATATTCCTTTTGCCTCTTTAATTATCTCAAAAACCCATTAAACTCTTTATTTCAGACCATCAAGTCTGAGATAGCAGGGTTAGACTGTACTGAGCTATTTTCCTTAACCTGATCCTTCTACATCTGAACAGGAAATTAATATGTAGCTCAATTTGCCTGATATTGGCAGAATTGCAATTAAATGGCTTCTTTCCTGGCTGAGAAATCGATACAATGTACATTCGTGACGTCATGATTTATTATTGATTCAGAAGGATGTATTTGGAACTGTGGACAGTACATAAATACCCCCATTTGATAAGGAAAGAGGTGTCATATTTATGGTCAAGATGGTTCAAATAAAGAGCTAATTGATATGATTATTGATTACATGTTGTTTAATGTCCCTCTTGAAAATTTTTCTCTCAAGTAGAGACACTGTGACTACCTGCCAGTGGAGACCTGCAAATTTTATCCTGTCATCGGCAATTTATATAGGGCCATTTAATAGTGAGGGAATTTTTGTGCCAGCACCTACTTGAACACGGGACCTCAGTTTATAGTCTCATCCAAAGGACCGGCCTCCCCGTCCCACAGTGGGATTTGAACCTGCAAATCAATTTCTTACTTCATGACTTTAGAGCAGACACTCTAACCACTGCACTCCATGTGCAAAGAAATAATTGATATTAAGTTTAATGAAACTACATTATACTTGAACTTTAACCTTTTTTTTTGGTCAAAATGTGTGTCATTCAATGAACTAAATGGTGTAATTCTTCACTTTACCTTTTAAGGCCAAACAAAAAAATATCTTTGTTTACTGTTACATGCTGAAATAAAATACGGTCGGTAGGTAGGAATTTTTTTTTATTTTATTGAATTTTTTTATACACAAATTCACATGAGTTGGTTATATTACAAAACAGTTTTACCATTGTATGGTGCCTTACTTTTGTTTGGCTTGAAATATAGGTGGTTTCTTGCCAACTGCCTTACGACTCAGGGGTGTGCAATTAAAAAAAATCAAGTACTAGCCCACAGGCTTGTAACAGCAATAAAGTTACTAGCCCGAAGTTAAAACTGAGCAGTCTAAATATAGGGGCAAAAAATTGTAAAAACAAATATCGTAAAAAGTTCATTGTTGAGAACGTCAGAGTCCTAAGCCATCCCTTTTAAATTTGAAGTTTAAAAATTTTAAGAAATTATGTATATCTTTTCTTTTCTGAACATATTATACTATTGTAACTTACCTAAAATGAAGCAAAATTATTTTATTTTCATTTCAAGCCATTAAATACAATTGATATATATTAAAGTTTAACCACATAACACTTTGCTATTAGTTGATTAGGGGACCGTAAATAATGGAAAGAGATATCTGCATGTCAATTTACCATTAACAGAGGGATGGAGGAAATTCGGATTAGGAAAAAAACGATCGTTTTTTGAAGTAAATAAGTCAGGTAGTACTTCAAAATGGATAAGGTTAAAGTAATTTAAGAACAGTTGGAGCACGCTGCCTGGAAAATTTTCATTAGTTGGAAATTAAATAGCAAAACAATGAGTGCATGAAAATACCGTTTGTATTTCTCATGTACAGACCCTAAACCGTGCTACTACACCACTTGCACGGTACGGTTCGGTACGCTTTGTACACGGAACGGTTCGCTTTGTTCACAGTACGGTACGCTTTGTTCACGGAACGGTTCGCTTTGTGCACGGAACGGTACGCTTTGTGCACGGTACGGTTCGCTTTATGCACGGAACGGTACGCTTTGTGGACGGTACGTTTCGTTTCTTGCACGGAACGGTTCGTTTTGTGAACGGTACGCTTTGGGAAACGGTATGCAAATGAAGTGGGCGGAGCCTGTTAGCTTTGGTCATTGATTGGCTGCTAAAAAATAGTCCATTTTAAACGAATTTTGAAGTTCGTTACGCACATGTACAATTTTATTTCCGTTATTAAAGAATGTAATTTATTTATTATTCATATAAATTGAAGTATTAATGAGTTTCTATTTATAAGGGTAGTTCAAATGTTTTATTACATGTACATGTATGTAATTGTTTTTATCATAGCCTTGTGTGTTATGTTTCGGTTTCAATTTTAAAAATTAATTTACACTGAAGCAGTAATGGAGGAAATAAGAAAATAAAATGAAAGGAAAAACATCGTCCCACTGATCTTTTTGGCATTTGAAAATATATAGAAGGTAAATATTTCCGTACGTATTTTAATTTTACGTTTGCCGAGGCTGTGTTTTAAATAGAAAAAAGACCCACATTTATACATGTACAATAATTTTTCATTCTAGAATAAAGCTTTAACAGAATTGAATATATACTTGTTCCATATTAAATACTATACACGTATATAAATTATTTTCAATTGATTGATCTATAAAAAAAAAATATGACTATTCGCGCTTTCATTTTTAATCTTAGTAATAAGAAATGTACATTGTTTCTCAATTTTAACATTGTTTGATCTATCGTTTAAATGTCTACCTTAGAAGAGAAACATCAGTAACAAAAAATAAATTTATTAATAAAAATGTTGAAGAAAAATAATTTTAAAAAATTTATAAGGTATAAAAGACTTGTTTGTTTTTTTCTCTTAAGTAAATCTTTGATTA